TCTCACCCTCTTCTTCAAATATGTCCCTGTACCTAGTGTCGTTTCAACTCTTGGGGTTGGCGCCACCCCTTCTCAATGGTGAAATATATTCAATTGAATCAACCTTTGTTCTATTTTTTTTTCTTCTGGAAGTCACCTACTATTAAACTCATTCGCGAGTGTGATTGTCAATTTTTTAACCAATTAACCCACGTTTTCAGAGATTTTTAAAAGCGAACGTAAAAAATCTGTAGACTCAATACAGAGTAATTGCTTGTTGAAGTTTGGTTCTTATTCGTTAATTGTCAAAATTCGCAGTTCAAAAGGGAAGTAATCAAAAATCTGCATTTGGTGAGGTAAACTCAGATAATGTTTTTTGGAATGATACAATAGAAACTACTTTTTTAAGTCCGTATTATAAAAACTGAGCGAGTTATGACAAAAAATTATGCTTCCTATTTTATTCTTCGACAAAATATGTAAAATTCACCCCTCAGTTACTACTCCAATAGAAAATAATTGTTATCACTGTCCAATTCCCTTTTAATGTACTTGTAATGTGTTCTAGAAATTCTACCGGTTTGGAATGCTCAGTTTTGAAACAATCGAGTTTGAAGTGAATAGACCATTTTTGTAAAAAATGATTTTTTTTCAAAATAACCCAAAAACTATCAACGATACACAAAATATAGCTACAATGTGTATTTATCAATGCTCCAATTGATACTTTTTGAGTTATTATGATGTGATGTACGGTACTTTTTATCGTGGGTTTTGTATGAAAGAATTTACTACGTTTTAATAACCTGTTTATTCAAAATTTAAAATACCAACTCCTCGATACACAAATCCAAAAACCACTCGTTCCATATATGAGTGTAAAAACTAATACATGCACGTGGCATTCATATAGGAATATATATACAGAGTGTATTTACAAATATATTACATTTCTCCCCTTTTTGATCTTGGATATGACGCAACTAATATTCCAATCTTTCAGGAGGTTTACGTTTACGAGAACCCCTACGGAGCATAGTTCCTGTTGTGTCATTTTCATTTTCAAATTGGGTTTCAGGTGATCTAAACAAATCTGATAAACCTATTTGTTCATTTTTATTACTTTGTGGATGTTCGTTATTTTTATTAGTTTCTACATGTTCACTATCACTGTTCAATACACCATACTCTAGAATTCGATTCAGATGCCGGTGCCATGTTTTTTTTATATCTGGTATAAAAACTAAATATGTAATGGGACCAATTTTCTTTTCAATCTTTCCTTCAATTCACTTTGTGTTCACTACACTATAATCTTCAACTGATACTACATCTCCTATACAGAAAGTATTCTTTTCCCCCATGATACTTTTTTTGACGATTCAAACTTTCAACCTCTTTTCCAGAAAACTTATTTCCGTCTTTCTCTTCTTTCGTTTCTGGCAATAACAAATCTAGCTTAGTAAGAATTTTACGACCAATCATTATCTCCGCGGGACTTATACCATAGTAGTACAGTGTGGAGTGTTTCTGTAATCCATCAAAAATCGATTCAACAATAAATCCAAATCAGAAATTCCTGAATTTAAACTTTTTAATAAAGATTTCTTTATCGAAATTACTGAATTTTCAGTCTGGCCATTCGTAGCTGGGTGAAAAGGTGGGCTATGTTTTAGTTCGACACCATTATCTTTCAAAAAATTATGAAATTCTGAAGAAACGAAATATGACGCGTTATCTGAAATTAAAATGTGAGGAATGCCAAATCGCGCAAAAAGACTCATTAAAATTTTTATTGTACTAGATGAAGGTATTTCACTCACTATGAAAGCTTCATACCATTTTGAAAAAGCATCTCTTGCTACAAAAATATATTTATTTTCAATTGGGCCCAAATAATCTATATGAATTCTTTCCCAACAATTATTTGGATATTTCCAATTTATCAGTTCAGCTGTAGGTGGATTTATTCTTAAACTTGAACACGATTTGCAATTTTTTACCGTTTTTTCAATATCGATATTTAGTCCTGGCCACCGAACATAGTTTCGTGCTAGACTCTTCATTTTAACGATTCCTAAATGGGATGGATTTATGAATTTCGCCTAAAATTTGTCCTTGTATATTTTCTGGTATTACAATTCTATACTCAAACAGAATACAATCATTTACTATTGAAAAACAATTTTTATTTGTGAGATATGGTTTCAGTTCAGAGTCTACCTTTTTTGGCCAATATGTTTTTACTTCTTGTAGGACATAATCCTGCAAGGTCAGTTCCCTTATCTTTTCGCAATTTATAGGAATATTTTCGTTTTGTGAAATATATTTAATCATAAATGAACAATCCTCAGGCTCTGCTGAATTTGTTGGAAGCGATAATCGTGAGAGACAATCTGCATAATTATTTTCAGATTGCACATACTTGATTTCAAATTGAAAATTAGCCAATATGATAGCCCATCTCTGTAGTCTGTTCGCAGCAAATATAGGAATTCCCTTTTTAGTGCCAAAAATAGCTACTAAAGGCTTATGATCGGTCATCAAAATACATTTTTTAGCAAATAAATATTGATAAAATTTCATAACACCGAAAATGATAGCCAACTCCTGTTTTTCTATCTGACTGAATTTTTCTTCACTTTTAGTCAAAGTTCTGGAAGCATAAGCTATCGGCCGTTGAACTCCTTGTATACAGTGCCTTATCATTGCCCCTATTCCTGTTTGAGATGCATCTACTGCTAGTTGTATGGGTAACTTTGGATCAAAGTGAACTAGAACTTCAGCGGATGCTAATATTTTCTTTATTTTATTAAATGACATCAAATGAAGTATTTTTTTGTAATAAATTATAAAGAGGTTTCAACACTATTGAACTATTAGGTATGAATTTATGGTAATAATTAACAAGACCTAAAAATGATTTCAATTGTTTTACGTTTATTGGAAGCGGTGCATTCAATACTTCTTACACTTTATCTTCCATTGTGTGGAACCCTCTTTGTCTAATTTGAACCCCATATAAGTGACACTTTCTTTAAAAAATTCACATTTCCTTTTTTCTAATGTAAAAACGACCTCTGCAGACTTTTTCATTACTGATTTTACTCTAAGTATGTGTTCCTCTTTGGTGGTTCCGGTAATGAGCACATCATCAAGAAATGAAGCTACTCCTTCAATACCCTCTAACAACCGTGACATAATTTTCTGAAATTTCGCGGGACCTGAATGTATACCGTATGTTAACCTGTTATAACAGAAAAGACCTTTAGATGTTGTTATTGTTGTTAAAATGCGAGATTCTGAATCTAATTCTACCTGCTGATATGCATTTGATAAATCAAGTTTTGTAAAATGAGTTCCTCCTGTAATTTAGCAAATAACTCTTCTATACGTGGTAAAGGAAATTTGTCGATTTCTAGATCTGGATTTAATGTTATTTTATAATCACCGCATAATCTAATTGATCCATTTGCTTTTATTATCGGAACTATTGGTGTTCCATATTCACTGTATTCCACTGGTGATAAAATTTTTGTTTTAATTAGTCTGTCGATTTCAGCCTCAACTTTTTCTTTTAATGCAAATGGAAGCATACTAGCTTTAAAAAATTTCGGCTGAGCTCCCTTTTTTTAAAGTTAAGCTAATATAACCCTTATTGAAACAACCTAACTCTGAATTTAGGACAGATGGAAATTATTTTTGAAAACACTCGGCATAATCCGATTCTAAATTATTAACTGAGAATTGAAATTTACTGAAAAAGTCTCTACCTAACAATCTGTTTTCCAATCTCCTTCCTCCTGCTGTACCTGCATACTTCCTACCTCCTAGGTGATAAACTTCCTGCTCTGCTCGGGGTTCACTTTTAATTACTGCCGCTTGACTTCTTTGACTGCTAGCTTTCTTATTTAAAGCTATTTCGATAGCTTTCTCGAACGTGAGATTTTCACTGTTTTCTTCAAAAAGCCTGTCCTTTATAGGTCCTTTTGGTAAACCACATATGAATCGATCACGCATTACAACTGTTAGTTCTTCTTTGAAATCGCATTTTCCTGCTAACTGTCTTATCCGGGCTGCCCATTCTTGTACCGTTTCATCTTTATTTGTCGAAGCGGAATAAAATATTTCTCTGTCTGGAAAAACTAACTTGGCTGGTGTAAAATGCTTGTCAAATAGCGCCATCAATTCCTTGAATGGTTTCTCTGACGGTTTATTCGGCAAACATAAACTGTTTATCAACTGATATGCCGTTTCGTTGCACATATTTAACAATAGTCCACGTTGTTTTTCTTCCTCCTTTTCTTCCGTCTTTTCTTCTCACAGTGGAGAATCTTCTCCAATCACATTCACTTAGATTAAAAACCCTTAAACAGCCTATATACGACATCGCCATTTTATGTGTAAACAGACGTATTGTTTAATTAGTTTCACTTTAATCAATTTTGTGATTCCGATCAGTTTTTTATCCCATCCTTGTCGCCACTGTGATGTATGGTACTTTTTATCGTGGGTTTTGTATGAAAGAATTTACTACGTTTTAACAACCTGTTTATTCCATAAATGAGTGTAAAAACTAATACATGCGCATGGCATTCATATAGGAATATATATACAGAGTGAATTTACAAATATATTACATTTCTCCCCCTTTTTGATCTTGAATATGACGCAACTAATATATACAGAGTGTATTTACGAATATATTACACATGAAAACTACAAATCACAGTGCTTACAAACAGAACTTTCCGAATCAAAAAGGTTTTTGAAGGGAAACGTTCGATAATACAGTTTTTTGTGAGACTTCCACTATGAAAGCTTCTTGAAAGTGTTTCTAGCTTTCTCAAGCAGTCTTTTATGAGGACTTTGAATTTTTTTTAGCGAAAATGTCACAGTCGACTATAATAGTAACTTTTTTGAAAGGTGATTTTCAATTGTATTCTTTGATTCTGGTATGTTATCCAAACTATTGACGTCCCAATGTGGAATATTATACTCAATGAGCTTTTTTATTACAGGTTTCAGAAATACTAGAACTACTAGGATTGGATCGATGTCAGTTCACATTAACCTCAAGATTGTCAGGCGGACAAAGAAAAAGATTAGCGGTCGCATTAGAATTGCTTAGTAACCCTCCAATATTGTTCCTAGATGAACCCACTACGTAAGTTATCTGCTTGCTTTTGTCTACCACCACAAAGAACATCGTAAAAAGTCTCTTACTTCACTCATCAAGAATAACAGTTCAATACCTATCCAGAAAGTTTCATTCACAAATTTGAAAGTCGACCTTAAAATAAAACAAACATCTCAAAAATAAATGAAATTCCGAATGGCGATCTCACTTCGGCAATCCGTATTTTAACTTCAACGGACTGTTTTGCAGATTTCGATTATCCTACCTTAACTAAACTTCAACCTCAACATCCTGCTGACATCTGTCATGAACCAATGCCTAACAAAAACTGTACTCCACTTTAAATTGGCGAAAAACAAGTCTTGAAAGCGATCAGATCATTTCGCATAGCTTCAATTCAGTCGCACAAGTTTCGACTTCTGAGGGTTGTCGTTCGTAGGAGTGCGACAGCTGGTAAACGGAAAAATAGATTTTAAACAGATTCAAAGGGGTAATGTCACATCGATTCGTCTACTCGAAAATTAGATGAAATATTTCAAAATTTCTTATGAATCAACCAAAATGGAGTAAGCAAATAGACAATTTCTCAATGTTCTCAGAAGATGCAGAGGAAAATGAACAAGTTTTAGAATTATCTTTTTCTCACAAACTCAAAACATCTACTATAAATATATGTGATCCAGTTTGAAACAGTTTAAATTCAAATTCTTCATTCCGCTCGTCCAATGATGGGGAGAATCATCGCATCTGTGATTACTCGGAAGAAAACAGCAGTGGCGAACGTATCATCAACAGCTACAACGAAATTAGACCAGTGATACATTCTTCAATCAAAACTCTTGGACCGAATGGGTTGAAAAATATTGGCAACACCTGTGTCATGAACAGTGCCAATGTTTATCAAGATGGTTACTGGAATATTTAAAATAGGATGAGTACATGAAAGATATCAATACTAGTATTTCTAGTACGAGTATGAAGGGTGATTTAATCATAGCGTTCGCAGAAGTTATGAAGGAATTATCAGAAAAAGTGAACACAGTCTCCTTAAAAAGTCAGATTCAGAGTTTTGCCCCTCGATTCATCGGTCATGCGCATCAAGACGCCCAAGAGTTCCGCCGTTATCTTTTAGACGGTTTACATGATGACGTCAATAGAAAGAATGAGAAACCTAAACCAATATTAACGGAGATTGATAAAAAATTGAGCGATAGCGAAAAAGCAAGAGATATGGCTGATATATTTGAGTATATATAATTCCAGGATGGTAGATGATTTCGTTGGTCGAATAACATCCACGATGAAGTGCACAAAGTATGGACATCATCATCCCTTTCTGGGATTTGTCACTCCCCATAAGACAAAGAACTGGCCATTTGAGTTCATCACAATGCTTGAATTCTTTCACTAGAGAGGAATGGACATGAAAAACCGACGTGTTTAAACTGCAAGTAAAGAAGAAAATGCACAAAGTCTTCATGAATCCATAAGTTTCCCCGTATTTCAGTAAATCATTTTGAAATATACTCTCTAACGGAAATATTTATAGGCAAGTTAAATGTTGCCATCGAATTTCCTCTAGATGGATTATATATCAGGAATTATGCAGGAGACAGTGTGACTCCTTTTCGTTATAATCCATATGCTCTTTTGAATTACTGAGGGTCTACTTACAGCGAACATCATACAGCATACTGCACACATCCCTATACTGACACGTGGCACGAATACAATGATTCACACGTGCTACCAATTTCACCTATGAGTGAATATGCATACATCCTCTTGAAACGAGTTCGCACCTTCAAGCATTTTGAAATGTTATGTTTGACTTGGTAATTTCAATGTTATGTCGTATATTAGGTAATTTATTATCTTTTGGAGAAAAGTCATTTCAGTATTATTTTTTAGTAATTTGAATTCGTGGTCCTGCCTACCATATGACCTACTTTTATTCGTCTATATAATTCTTGTGTGGTGGAGCATCCCGAGGGGCGTGTTGTTTAACGAAACAGTTGTTTTGAGTGAAGAAACATTTTTGAAACAGAGTATAATTCTAATTTTATAATACTTCAAACAAATTATCTATAAAATCATGAAACCATAGCCAAAGCAAAAAGGTACAACAACAAGTCAAACATAACAAGGATAATGAATCAGGTATCTAAAAGCTAACATGTGGATCATGTAAAAAATGTTAAATTGGAAGCACGTCTAGGAGTTTTGAAATAAGAATTTCAGAACACAAAAGAAGTTTTCAACTGAACTCAACATAAACAAAATAATGGACAAACATCGAATCTGCTAGAATCCCTGGAAAACGATAAACGATAACAATCAAATTCCTTATCAATGAACTAATAATTACTCACCTTTGTTTAACTTATTTTCATAAAATTTTGAAAATTTATTGTGTTCGTATAAATTTTATCTGCTTACATACAATTATTATTGTATGGTGATTACTTTTTCTGAAAATCTTCCTATGTTTATCTATATTTACTGTTATTAATTAGTTAAGTTCTGTAATTACTGTTGCATGAAATGCATTGTACAATAGCTCAATGTACTAATTCAACTGAGGATACTATTGTGTAGCAAAACGTTTCTGTGGTCAAATTATAAGTGTTGAAATTATTTTTTCTTCATGAATATTGTGTTATCAATTTTCAAGTTACGAGTCAGTGTATTGTTAATCGAACATTTTATAGCCAGTATTCGCTTTACAAGCCGATATTAATTTGTTCAAGTTTTCGTTGTTCATAGCAAGTATAATACCTCCATTAATTGTATATTGAGCATTCATGAAGCGCTAATTTCTTGTTTGTCCAAATGTGTACTCTGTCAACGCATAAGTTGTGAGAATTCGCAAGTTTCGCAATTTTCAGGCATAAAACATGTTAAGATTTCTATAGAATTTACCGAGAAATTCACAGAGCAGAATTGTTTCAGGGCAACAATCCGGGATAACAAGAATGCTAATAATTATTGTTTACCACAATATCTTTTGAAAGTCATTCCAAAGAATGGTAACAATTGTAATAATTGATATAATTGATAAAGATGCATATTCTAAATGAAACTATTTGGTGCTTCAGTCTTTTTTTCCAGACCACTGGAAGTGTGATAAAAAATGTGTAGATAGTATGTTACATTTCCTAGTTATTGACCTGTGGATTAATAGAAGAAAAAGAGAGGAAACTTCAACAGATATAACAAAATGATGAGTAAAATGATGGTACTGAATTTAGTAAGAATTTTCGTATCGAATTAAAATTTTGAGTACAAGGTAACTTCTCTTTATGATGTTTCGAAATGATTCAAAAGATGTAAGACGTAAGAAGAAATCATAAGATTCTACCCCTTACATGTATAACTGTATATAATGAAATTGGCCGATTTTTGATGGAAATCCATAAATGATGTATTCAAAAAACACTGTATTGTAAGATTTTTCACTAAACTGACTTCGAGACACAGGTTTCGTTTCTAATATGCTGGTGGACGGACGTTACGACAACGATCGTCCACAAAGAAGGTACGCGGACGCCATTGTTGGAGATGGAACTTAGTTTTGTGTTGTGACTGTCCGCCGACATAGAACGTGCCCTTATTAAAATAAATATTTTTTTTTAAAGTATTATGAGTGTTTAAAGAAAAATAGAGTACAAGGTAACTTCTCTTTATGATGTTTCGAAATGATTCAAAAGATGTAAGACGTAAGAAGAAATCATAAGATTCTACCCCTTACATGTATATAATAAAATTGGCCGATTTTTGATAGAAATCCATAAATGACGTATTCAAAAAACACTTTATTGTAAGATTTTTCACTAAACTGACTTCGAGACACAGGTTTCGTTTCTAATATGCTGGTGGACGGACGTTACGACAACGATCGTCCACACAGAAGGTACGCGGACGCCATTGTTGGAGATGGAACTTAGTTTTGTGTTGTGACTGTCCGCCATCATAGAACGTGCCCTTATTAAAATAAATATTTTTTTTTAAAGTCTTATGAGTGTTTAAAGAAAAATAGCCCTCTCGTTCACCCCTCTCATTACATAACTCCTATCCTCATTCACGCCGGTTGCAAGCCGGGGTAGACCGGATGTCCACCTGGGAATTGGATTGTATCAATCATACGAAAGATATGTGTGTTGAATCATAAAGTCTCCCGAGCAGGAGGCGACTTAACAACAAATTTTAAGTGTTTTTATAATAAAAAGTTTGACAAAAAAGGGATGGCAGCATTGCTTCGAGCAAGACCGCTGTGTCCCACGACGAAGCTCCTGTCAATTTTGATAGGAGGGTGGACGAATGCGAACGAGAGGGAAGCAATGTCCAATAAACCTAGAGAGAGAGAGGGACTTCGAGATATAACCTTCGTCCACACAGTCTGGATTTTATTTTCTTTAATCGTGGTTCAGGTCGTGAAAGCCTATGTAGTATTGCCAACCCAATGAGATTAATGAAGAAAGTTGTAGAAATTAACATATTACCGAATAGTAATAGGTCTGAGGCACTCTGAGGTGAAACTGGTCTGCTGAAACAAAATGGTAAAGACAAACTTTGCGTACTTTGCACCTTCTCCGCAACAGTGATATTTAGTTTTCCGCCTATCTCTGCTTTCTCTCATATCTCATAGATTTTCTGTCTAGTTTCATAGAGCCATCTGTGATCTGTAGGTAACTTGTGCACAGAACATAAAATGACAGACGAGGTGATTTTGGTCAATTCGTTTTGATTTTTTGTAGAAAAAAGTGTACTTCTGAATTGTATTGGGTCTGCGCGAAAATAATGAAAATGTCCAGATTTCAAGTGTTTTGCGCGTTTTTGGTAACACTGAGCCTATGTTCTTATATTTATTTATCTATCAGTCGACCGGAATGTATAATTTATCCATAGATAGATTGATTTATTGTAGTTTTCGAATCAAACGTATGAAAACTCAAGTCAATCCATATTCCTACTTCCCTACTAATATTATAAATGCGAATGTAAGTTTGTTTGTTACGGTTTCACGCGAAAACTACTACTACTTTA